CACACACACACACACACACACACACACACACACACACACGATGGTAATAAAAGATGTCTCTCCTATCCTGGTCTCTGTCACTCTCTTACCAGCATGTCAGAGTAGTCCCTGGTTTGTTCCTAATGGGGGACGAGGACATATCAGCTTTAGAGCAGACAGACACAGGAGGGGCTGCACACATGATTCATCTAACAGTGTCACCACAGTTAATTGGAAAATAAATCCAAGTGTCAAAAGCCGGATTAGGTATATATATGGTTAGGTATAGTTTTATAGGTTAGGTATAATATATTATGTATACACACACACACACACACACACACACACACGCACGCACACATATACATAGCAGGTACAGACATTGCTACAGGTGTCACAGGTACCAGCTTTTAACTTTCACTTCCATAAGTAAGTGTATCAAAAACCATCTCATTCCTTAGCAGCAGGTCACAGGGCACAAACCGTGCACCAGGAGCCATGCTGTAGCACACATGTTCTACACGTGGCCGCAGTGTGTCCCATCTTTACCTGACAAGAGCACAGTGACCTGCTCGGCCTGATGCTTCCTCAGGAAGTCCCACGGGGACTGGGTGAAGCTCTGCCCAACTGACCATGGCACGTTTCCTGTTCCATAAATAAACAAAGTGACAAGCAATGGTTTAGTAATTTTAAACACGAAGCCACAGATGAGCTCTTCTCAGAGGGGCCTACGGAGTGCAGGGCTCAAACTCTCAGACACACCGCTCACACAGGGAGGGATTCCCTGATGACACTGTTGTTGAAGGCGAAGAGGAAGGCCTCCCTACAGACATCTCCCAAGGCGTATTTGCTAGGGAGACAGAGAGATGCAAACATGGCTAAAGTCAAGTGTCCAGGTTTCTTGTGATCTGGTTCCTCCTTGCCAACTTTCTTAGCTTCACGGGAAACATGTTTTTAGATCCAGAAACGCTAGGTGAGCTTCAGATGCTCAGACCAAGGCGTGCTTTCTCACGCCACAGCACTAGGGACTACCCTGGATCAGAAGGGGCTCACGGCAGAAGTGTTTGGTTCGCGGTGGCGGCTATCAATTCTGACCCAAGCCACCCCCACGTGACAGAGTGGAACTGCCCCCAGTGGATCTTCGTGGTTGTAATCTCAATGGAAACAGATGGCTAGTTCTTCCTCCTGCAGAACCACTGATCACACTGAACTGGCCATTGCTTGGTCAGCAGTTGACTGCTTAACCTTTGTGACACCACGGCTCCTTTTACCCTAGGAAGAGAGAATAATATGTATTCCATCCAATCTCTTCTCCAGATCAATTCATTAAATTCGGAATGCCAATATGCCCCCTATAACACACATGCATACCTGTGTGGTAGTTACGTAATCAAGCATCAACTTGAGGATCTTATGGGCGAAGGGGTGGAGTCTAGCCTGTCAATCAAGTCATAGCTAACAATGCCTCTATGTAGGCATGGCTTTCTCATGATTCTGGGAACTTCCTCTTTCTCTCCCTAGAGGAGGGCCAAGCTCTCTCTCTCTCTCCTTTACATTCCTGTTGAAGAGCCACATGGAGCCACGCTGATGGCAGCCAGCACCCTGGAGAGGCATCCACTGCCACTGGATCCACAGGACTTTCCACCCACTAGCTTGTCATCTCCCTGCATTCAGCACTGTTGACTCAAAGAGGAATTTATGGACTAGTATTGGATATATTGGATAATATTGGACTTATTATGCACTTGATCTGGACTGGGCTGGGATGTTTTCTTAATATACAATTACTCTTTGATATAAAGTTCTCTCTTACACACATATGAGTGTCTCTGGATTGGTTTCTCTAGTCAACCCGGACTAAGATAACCTGCTTATCGCTGAATGTGGCTTAGGCTACTGAACCAGCACACTCATATCTAGGTATGCATTGACAGCAGTACTATCGTTACCGATTACTGTAAGCAGCTACAGTCAAGCACGAGACTAAATCCTTTCCTCACACAGTTAAATACATTTGGGATCTAAAGTCCTACTAGGTTCCCGTATATGGCTGCATAGCTCCAACTTCTGTGACGAATATGGGTATGGGAGCATTGAAACCTTAGCATCCACGACTCAAAAGGGTCCATGTATCCAATCATGGTGATCGTGCACTTGCCTTCATCAGTTTCCAATTAGCTAGGCAAGGGCTGATGCACGTGACTGCGCTGCCTCAGCGGGGAAACCCCTGCAGCGGGGTGCCTCGAATAATTGTTGCGTTTGGGGGGGAAAGGGTTTCTCAGAACCATTCTAATGCATTTTTTCAATGCATTCAGCTAGATTAATGCTCCTCTAAAATCACTGTTGTGATCACACCAACAGTCCATGGGATCAGGTTGTCATAATTTGCTCTAAAACGAGAGGTGACATCAGCACACGTAAATTAACAGCAGAAACCACTTTCTCTTGTAATAAACCGATGCATTCATAGCAAGATAACAGTTTGCCTTTCTCCCACTTGGCTGATCATTCGCAGCAAGGAGGCAGTGGAAGGTGCACAGGATTTCCGGTCACACAGCCTGCTCTGCTGATTAGTTGTGGAGCTCAGGCAAACCATCTCGTAGCCTGCACAGTCACTGCACAATGAGGCTGTTGTCGGGACTCACTGAGGTACCGTTTATGAAGTGCGCAGCGGTCTTGGCACAGCTGTCGTGGGCCCACAGATGTTCATTTTCCCGGTACAAGAAGGGAGCAAATACCCCTGGACACTGATATTTAGAGAGTGCTCATTCTGCTCGGCCCAGAACACATCTTCTCTTTAGCGGTTCTTTGGGGTCTGTGTTCTGGTATCTACCCAAGAGAAAGAACCAGCTGCCACCTGGGCTTAGGTCACGGGGCAGCTGCCAATGTGTCTTCACTGACATGCTTCTCCCAACGCTCAGAGGGCGCCTGCCCTGGAGCGGAGGTGCCCATGGCCTGCGGCACCCGGTACGGCCCAAGACCAAGTCTGGATCCGCACTCAACTTGTGCATTGGAAAGCAGCTGCAGTGTGGCTCATTTTTGGCTTTTCTCTGGAATAGCAAGCACAATCACAAAGCCTCATCAAGGACTTTCATGTTCTTACTCTGCCTATGATTGGAGGCATCACAGCAATTTTATACCAACAGCCGACATTATGGAATAGCTGCTTTGTGAATACTCAAGCTCTCAACACCGGCAGCTGCCACGGGCGGGCTTTCAATGCGCTTACTCAGTGAACCGAGCTCATGCTATGCCGCCCACAAGCACAAATAATAAACCCAGCACCTTCCACTGCTTTCACTGCAGGACTGGGGATACCTAGTGTGATGGACAGGACGCTGGTGGCACTGAGGCCGATGCTGGCTTCAGCGGGGCTGTTGAGCGTCACGTCCTCCAGACTCCACCATCCATCAGAAGAGATCGCTTGGAAATGACTGGTCAGAGCTTGACTCACTGCTTTCGAAAAATCGTCCCATGATGTTGGTTTGCGGATATTTAACGCGCATATTGTGTGTTCACTTTCAAACTCATCGGGACCGGAGTTGTCTCCTTGAGTCTCGCCCACTGAGATCCTTAAGGGTATTTTAAGAGCATCTATTGAAAAGAAAAGAATCGGAATTTAAGAGGGGGTGGGGTACCCACCCAAACCCTAATAGAAAGAGAACCAATTACAAAATAAACAGCTGTGAGCATTGTTTAAAGAAACCAAAGCATGGTACCCCATCGGACGTGACTGAAGAACATGCCTAGAGATCAAAAATCAGACCTTGATCTATTTACAGGTTTTTCTTTAAATGTTTTTCTTTTAATTAATTTATTCTTCTATGGGTAATTGGTTTTCTTTTTTATTGTCATCCTGTGTTCTCATTCAGCGCCTATCTTGCTATGGCTTGATTTTTGTTGCATATTATTATCTCTACAGATCTATCTAGATAAGATAGGCTGGATGAACAGTCTGGAGGAGAAAACAACAGGACCAATGGTTCCGGGGGGACATGGGAGAGGGGGAGGCAGGGGTAAGGAGGTGGTGTTGACCAACCCAGGGACAGGGGAGCAACAAGTGATCCAAAGTCAGTGGCAAGGAGGGTGTGAGAGGCCTGGTAGGGATTCGGTAAGGGCAATGTAACCGAGCGAAATTACTAAA